GACCTCTTTGAGACCATCTTCAGCACGGCCCATCGAGGCAGCGCGCTGCCCCTGGCCATCAAGTACATGTTTGACTTCCTGGATGAGCAGGCAGATAAGCACAACATCCACGATCCTCACGTGCGGCACACCTGGAAAAGCAATTGGTGGGTGCTTCCGAAGAGCCCGGCGCACCTGGGCTCAAAGGGGAAGCCATTTGCAGAAACGTTCCTAAAATTGAAGGGGGGTTTTTTTGGAACCTTTCTACCCAAGGGAACCAGAAGCAGCTAGGGCAGAGTCAAGAAATGTCACATTCCTGAAATGTAGAGTAGTCCTTGACTTATGACTTAAGGGAGGGAGGGAGGGAAAGAGGGAACAGAGATAAAGAAGGAGGGAGGGAGGGGAAAGAGAGAAAGGGAAGGAAAGAAGAGAGGGAGGGAGAGAAAGAGAGGGAACAGAGAAAAAAAGGAGGAAGGGAGGGAGGGAGAGAAAGAGAGGGAACAGGGAAAGGAGAGAGAGGGAGAACACAAGGAAGGAGGGAGGGAAAAAAGGGAGGGAGGGAGGGAGCAAATGAGAGAGAAGAGAAGAAAAGGGAGGGAGGGAGAGAAAGAGAGGGAACGGAAGGAAAGGGAGGGAGGGAGGGGAAAAGGAAGGGAAGGAGGAAAAGAGAGGGAAGAAGAAAGAAGAGGGGGAGGGGGAGTGAACACAAGGGAGGGAAGAAGGGAGGAAGGAAAGAAGAAAGGGAAAGAGAGGGAACAGAGGGAGAGGGAGGGAGCAGAGGAAAGAAGAGAGAGGGGGCGTGAACACAAGAGAGAGCGGGAGAGAGGAAGGAAGGAAGGAAGGAAGGGAATGAGAGAAAGATGGGACAGAGGGAAAGGAGGGAGGGAGTGAATACAGGGAGGGGAGGGAGGGAAAGAGACGGAACAGAAGGAGAGGAAGAAAGAAACTTGAAACTAATGAAACATCAGCATATTATTAACATCATCTGCGGCAATTCATTCAAGGCTGATTGAAGCCACTCAGGGGCTCCTTTAAAGACGGGGAAAAAAAAACGAGGCGCGGAAAGCGGGATTAAAGAGCCGGAGACGTGGTTTGAGCAGATTCAATTCATCCCCAACTTCTTTCTTCTTCTCGATGGCTTCTTGACTTCCCGCCTGTTCCTCGCTGCAGAACGAACAACAGCCAGGGATTCAGGGAAAGTCACCAACAGAGAGAATCGTGAGGAGGTTGATCAAGTAGCTAAGAAGTGCCTTAGAAGGGATGTGGGCGGAGGAATATCTATCTTGGATTATTGGGGAATGTTTATCTTGGATTAAACCAACGGTGGGCATTGACACTTGGAAGGTGGGCCAGGATAAAGGGCCAGCGGTGGGATTCAGAACTTTTTTTTACTCCCGGTTCTGTGGCCGTGGCTTGGTGGTATCACAGGTGTTCATCGACATACGGCCAGTTGCGTGTTTTAGTTGTGCGTTCCTGCATACGTTTCGGTCTCTGGGAGGATTAAAGGCCCCTGGGGATTAAACCGAACGAAGAATGGTCGCAGGTGTCAACTCGTAAAATGTTTCTATGGTATTTTTAGAGCGGCCAACAGAAAGGGAGAGGGAAAAGGGGTCTGAAAGAGCAACGCGGCAGCGTGGAAATCGAAAGCGCATTCCATATATCGTTGTTCAGAGATAGTAACTAGGGGACTTAAGTTTCTGCCAGGCAAATGTCTAACTGGAGAGAGCCTGATTGAGGACTCTGGGCTATGGATGTGTCCCATTGGAGGATATGCATTACGATACACCCAGGGGGTGGGGGAAAAACCAGGGTCAAGGGTGACAATGAATGATGTGTCTCAGAGTCAGCTACACCCAGGCAGTGCCGGACATGGTCACTCCCAATAAATCCTTTTGAAGTTTGGCTCGAGACTCGTGATTTAATTGGGGGTAACTGATGGGACCCTGACAGCAGGAACTGGCTATGGTCAGCCTGGAGGAAGAAAAAGGACTCGGGGTGACACGACAGCAGCCTTCCAGTATTTGAGGGGCTGCTACAAAGAGGAAGGGGATCAACTTATTTTCTAAAGCACCTGAAGGCAGGAGAAGAAAGCAATGGGTAGACACGGATCAAGGAGAGGAGCCACCTGGGGTTAAGGAGAAACTTCCTGACAGTGAGAACCATTGACCAGTGGAACTACTTGCCACCAGAAGCCATGGGTGCTTCAGCACTAGGCGTTTTTAAGAAGAGACTGGACAGCCACTTGTCTGACACGGTATAGGTTCTCCTGCTTGAGGAGGGGGCTGGACTAGAAGACCTCTATGGTCCCTTCCAGCTCTATTCTGATTGATTGATTGATTGATTAGAGCCCACTCAAAAGTTACAGCGGTGCTTAGGGCCTTTGCAGCATCCCTAGGAGGCTTCCAAGAAGGAAATTTGTTTTGCTTTCAAGAAGAGACTGGACTGTCCTCTCTCAGAAATGGTGTCGGGTCTCCTGCTTGGGCAGGGGGTTGGGCTAGACGACCTCCAAGGTCCCTTCCAACTCTGTTCATCTGTACCTGTATATCAAGGGGGAAAGCCAGAATCCTTTAACAAGCGTAATTACCAGTGGTGGGTTTCAAAAAGTTCCCCGATCGGTTGGGTGTGAGTGCGCCCTTTGCGCCCGGGCGCCCACACAGCATTTGCAATTCCCCTTCTGCTGCAAGCCCTGGGTGTCAAACAGCCGACGGGCAGCAGTCGGCTGCATATGAAGCAGCTGAGGTTGAAAAAAAACAGGATATAAAGGTCAGTCCTGCTGGAGGGCCAAGCAGCTGATCATCGGAGCAAAGCGGTTCACTCACGGATGATCGTCGGAGCTACCAGTTCAGCCGAACTGAGCCAAACCGGTAGAATACCACCACTGGTAATAACCATGGTAAACTCGTTTAACAACCCTGGCAGAAAAGGTGGTAAAATGAGGAACGGCTCATTTCAGAACCCAGCCGCTTAGCGATGGTAGTTCCAGTTCTGGGTGTTGTTGTAAGTCAAGGACTACTTGAATTTGTGTTGAATAATAATAATAATAATAATAATAATAATAATAATAATAATAATAATAATAATGCCATGGCTTCCTTCTCTCTTTTGACTTCAGCCTGCCCTTGAGGTTTTGGGTGAACATGATCAAAAATCCGCAGTTTGTCTTCGACATTCACAAGAACAGCATCACGGATGCCTGCTTATCAGTGGTAGCACAAACCTTCATGGACTCCTGTTCGACCTCAGAGCACCGTTTGGGCAAAGATTCCCCATCTAATAAACTGCTTTATGCCAAGGATATCCCCAGCTACAAGAACTGGGTAGAAAGGTATGTCTGGCTCTCTCTTTCTCTCTTCTCTCTCTCTGTGTCTCTATATCTTTCTTCTCTCTCTTCTCTGTATTTTCTCTCTGTTTCTGTCTCTGTCTCTCTCTTCTCTTTCTGTGTCTCTTCTCTCTCTTACTTTCTTTCTTTCTCCTCTCTCCTTTCTTTCTTTTCTCTCCTCTCTCTTTCCTGTCTCTGTCTCTCTCTTCCCTCTCCTCTCTTTCTCCTCTCTCTCCCCACTCTCTTCTCTCTTTCTCA